TATTATATATTCTAGTCTTGAATCAATTCTCTTGATTAAAATAATAATCAGATGAATTTTATACAGTCAATTTGAAAAGTATATGCATATCAAAAATAATATTAAAACTAATACAAAATATTTACAAATGCAACTCCATTAATATTCCATTAAATTAATGACTCTCTCTTTTCATCTTTATATCCCCATCACCATCCCCCCTAACCACTTTCCCGGGTGCACTAGTACGAACAAATTTAATTTCTATTTATTTAGAATATTTGCTCGAACATCTTCTCCGGGCTAAATCAACTAAAAAATCAAACAGAAGGCATTTGTTTCGTGTCGATGGACACAATATAGCGATTATCTTAACAAGAAGTTATCTGGAAAAGTTTCCTCTGCCAATGCGCGAGCATTTACATCCATTTGAGAGTTTCAAGCTTCGAGCTCATGAAGCTGAAGCAGCTTTTTGGTCTGGAACGCTCAATTTGTTTGGGTTTTTGTTGTTGTCTTTTCTGTTTTCAGTTTCTTGTTTTATTTATTTATTTCTTATTTTTTTGGCTGAAGCAGCGTTGATAAACGCTAGAACGATTCCGACAAACGGACACAGCGACAGGCAGCTTGAGCAGGTGTGGGTGGCTTCAGGTAGCTCTGGTGATTCTGGTGGTTATTTTTTTTTTGTCTTTTTTTTTTTTTTGGCCCACAGATGCCAAATGATAAATAGCGCTGACGCTTTGAAGAGAAATGTAGCAAAAATAAATGAAATTGGCGCATAGGTGGGTTGCCCAATGCTTGGGGCGTGGCCAGACTTATAAATAAAGCGACTCGCACACACACGCACACATAGCTGCATTGTCCTTGATGTGACCCGCCTTTCGTGCTGCAAATGGAGAAAGAGTCGCAGCAACTGCAACGTGGCAACAATGTCGCCAGCGCAAAGTGACGTCACATCGATGTCGACACCGACTGTGGCGCCAGCAGTAATAACACCGAGCCACTCCCAGCCCGCGCGGCCCCCTCTCGGAGTCCTCTCGCTCGTGTTGCTGTCAAGTGTCGCGCTTGCTTGCATACGAGTACATGACGCCAAAAATTTATTAAAATAGAAGACAACTCGAATGTCAGCCAGTTAGTCAGACAGTCACTCACCCGCACAGGGTGTGAGAACAAGGCAAGGGTTGCTCAACTATGCAGTACATTGTGTGCAAGTGTGTGTGTGCAAGTGTGTGTGTGTGTGTGCATAGGAATATTTAAGCACTTACGAGGCAAGTGCATGGAAAATCACTTTAAGACATACAGCAAAAAATGAAAAATGTTGACAGTCCCTAAACAAAAACCAAAAGCGCCACTACAGGGAATTATGTTGCCCAGATAAGGTAAGTAATATATGAAAGTTGCATGAAAGAAGTTTATACACCGTAGCGCTACAAGTTCATTCAGCAATGAGAGTGAGAAAGCCAACAGGGCAGGTACTTTACCGACTTAATTATTGATGCTAATCAAGACTTTATATGTATGCATATGGTATAAAGTCGTAATCAGAGTAATCTCCCATTAATCTTTAGTATCTCCTACCCCGGTGTGTTGGTAAAGCGCATGTAAAAGCTTAAGGAAATTGCATATTACTAGATACTAAAAATTCTTGATGTAAAATTGTTTATATGAGATAATCAAAAGTATAACAGTATGACAATATGATGGTATAAAAGTATAGCATAACAATAATATATTTGTGTAACAGTATAACAGTATACTAATATGGCCGTATAACAGCTTATAGCAACTCAGTATAACAGTTTCATTACATAGCAATGTATTGGTAACAATGTATAACAATGTGTTATACTGATATAACAATCCATCTGCATAGCACATAACTGTACAAGAGTTTAATAGTATAGTATAATAGTATATCATTATCGGTTGTTAAATATATGACAGTTTTAATGGTATAGTGAATAAGCGGTACGACAATAATTATTGGAATACCCCTCAGGTGTTGTCAGTGAAAAAGTAAACTATTAACTACGTTAACTAGTATAGGAGGAACGATGACTGCAACCAATATAACAATATATGTTGACAATTTGTTTTCCAGTTTTAGTAGTGCAGCGGTACATTTTATTGGTAGAGCTGCATTATTAATTAATTAATTAAAAATGAGTATAAATAGAATAGCTTTGTAGTATAACAGTCAAAGCTCCTGGATATTGACGGCGGTCAATATTAGGCCGCCCAGCAACGAGATCAGTTGCCAGAACTTAAAACGTAAGTAGAATATGATGGGCATATTGGAGAGGGAATAGGGAAGCACCCACCAAGCATAGGCCTTGAAGCTCTGAGCGACGAGCAGTGTAAGCAACAAGGCCGATGACCATTTCAGTTGATAGCCGCTCAGGACTACAGCGATCATCATTTTGACCCCGTAGCGATGGAAAAATCGCCAGAACAAGCCATCATTGATGCTCTTGTAGGTCATATAGGCCACAATGAGAAATCCGCCGCGAAGAAAACGATGGTGCGGTACGGTGGCCAACACGATGGTTAGGATCAGGGCGCACATATCAGCATACATCTCCAGGCTCCATAGCATGGGGTTCGAGGCAATGCGCAAGTTGATCAACAGGCCGAGTAGGCCTGCTGCCAGTTGGCGTTTACTGGCAAAGAACACCAGACTGCAGGCCATCAGCTGGATGGCCACGACGGTTGTTATATAGAAGTTGGCGAAGAGGTCGCCGCAGTGCCAGTTCAGATTGAGCAGAACACGCTCCAGAGTCCAGTCCTTCAGCAAATGCACCGAATCGGCCAGAAAGTTGCATATGATACACAATCTGGCAAAGACTTCCATTACGCTCTTTACATCCACTGAGATGGGATCCATTTGAATTGGTTTCGGTTTGCTTCTTACGGCTTAGTAAGTAATTTATTTTCAAGACTTTAATTTCATTTATTTTTTTTTTTTTTTTTAAGGAAAAATCGAGACAGATTCAGTTAGACGTGATGCAGTAATAATAGAATTTCTAATGTATTGCATTAAGCTAAAATGAACGCTTACTATGTTAGAACAGAATGAAAAGCTGTAAAACTGACTGACATCTTAAGTGTTTTAGTCTCTTGAGAGAATTCAGTTCAGAAAGCTCCGGCTTAGCACCCTTGATCTCATGGTAGCATAATTTCAGTTGAATATAAATAGTATAAGTAAGCAGTAGAGATAGTTGGGGTCGCACATTCACTCATTTAAGCGCCGTGCAGGTCCTATTGCCTTGGTGCGAGCGAGACAGCTGGCTCTTACTCAGATTTAATACCGTTCAATTATACGGCCGCCCTCTCTCGAATTCGCTTTCGCTCTCTGGTGACGGTGTCGCTGCGCTGCACTTGACATGCATTTTGGACCCAAGGATAACTACGTAATTTTCTTTAAATAGTCTAATCCTTGCGCTACATACGGTCGAGCCAATGCTGAATAATGCACTCAAAGACGCAAAATATTAACAGCCGCACTTAAGCATGTACACATGTACACATGTATGTATGTACATGTGTGTATGTACGTATGTATGTGCCTCCATCTAGCATAGACTCAAGTCATTTCTCTTAGTATATGACGGGCACATTTTATGCGTGCGTGCGTGTGTGTATGTGTGTGTGTGTGTGTGTGCGAAAGAAATCCACAGTGAGGTTCTGCTTTTATTTTTGCAAGCAGCTTAAGTGATTTACTTTAATAGTTGCACACATTCATTCTTACTTATACACAGTCAGCTTGGCTCGTCGAAGGGATACTTGCGGTGCAGGGGCATGCCAAGTCGTTGCAGCTTCATCACAAGACGTTACGAATGGCAGCTGAAAAGAAATTAAATTGCTCTCACCCAACATTGCAGTGGAATAGAAACGCACAGCAATGTGCAGCCAGCTGCTGACAGGGTGGGACCAGAAGCAGAAGAAGAGGCAGAAGCAGTAGCAGTGGCAGAGGCAGAGGCAGAGGCAGTAGCTGAGGCAGTGGTAACGGCAGAAACCATTCGACTGTTCAGTCGCTGCAGTTGCTGACGACAATTTGAAAAGCAGCGCAGCACAACTGTGAGACTGTGTGGGTGTGTCTTGCTGTCTGTCTCTGTCTGTTCGACCATCTAAATGCCTCTGTGTGTGTGTGTGTGTGCAGTTAAAGTTTCTAATTGAAATTGAAAGAGAGCGCTGGGGTGCTGATGGCTGCTGTTAAATTTGTATTCAAAATTAAGACAAAGAATGAGAGAGAGAGAGAGAGCGAGAGCCAGCGAGACTGAGCAAAGACGGTGGACGAGCAATTGCAACGGTTGTTTTCTGGAGACTCAAAAGCAAAGGCAAAGGCAAAAGCTAAAGCAAAAGCCAATGCAAAACCAGAAGCAGAAGCAGAAGCAGAAGAATGTTAATGTCTTTCGGCTCTCATGCTTGGCTATGGCTATTTGTCAATATGACAGTCATGAATGCATGCATGCCAAGAGTGTGACCAGATCATTGTTATGTGTGGCAGTTTCCATAGTCCACAGTCCATGTGCTCCTTGTGTGTGGCCAAGCAGAAGTCAAATGAATGCTTTTATTTAAGGCAGTCTTCGTGTGCCAGTTTTCGCTCGCTCTCCATTTCAATAAACTTTTTTCCAATTTTCTAAACACTTTGGGCTCGCACACGTCTTATCGAACTCTGGCAGTGCAACTAAACGGCCAACTGGAAACTTTGCTCAGCCACAAATAGGACCAGCAGCAGCAGGTCCAGGTGCTTAATATTGAAACATCTTCATATTGGATGTCATTGTGTGTGGCAGCGTACGTGTGTGTGTGTGTGTTTGGACACTACTCACGGACTTGCCTTTTGGCACATTGACAAACTTTCAATGTGCCACGCCCACAGCTACACGTTGACGGACAGCCTGTGAACTAAAATTCTAATTAAAAGCGCAAAACTTTTGGCCATTGATCGAAATCGAATTCGAACTCGAACTCGAGCTCGAACTCGGAATCGAAATTGAGGTCCGAATTTCGAGTGGCATGGGGAGTGGCATGGGGGAGCCAACTGACTCTCTGGCCCGGGGGCAGGCAGACGTGTAATCGCCGCAACAATGGCAAACGAATTTGTGCGGCTCGCAGCTGCAACACTATGTTGCGCGAAGAGAAGCCAGCAGCATGATCGACTAGCAGATACGCTGGAAACTACGAACTAAACAGGATAGGGAAAGTACCGTTATGATACTCATTAGGCAACTCTTTGGAAAGAAGGATTTCAATATCGCCATCTACGGTTAACAACAACAACAAGCTCTCATTTCTTCCCTCTGTGCGAGCACACCCCACCTGCTATACAAGCATACAGGGTATTTAAGCGACAATGAAACGAGGCGTGCCAAAAGAAAAGTTGTTAAACTTGTGTCACATTTAATTAACATGAATCAGTGGGTTCTTGTTGCCAGGGGAGCTCGCTCTGTCTCTCTCGCTCCTTCGCTCTCCTTCCTTTCTTTGTTTTGATATATGTCTGTATGTGAGTGTGTGCGTAGCAGGAGACGCGTTGTAGGCGGGCAGAGGAACAAGTCTTTGCATTCGTAATTTGTTGGCTCTGCGCTTTGGTAATAAACTTTAAAATTTTATAACCACGAATCATTAAACTTAAACGAACACTAAATTTACAATTAATGCACATGTGTGCGTGTGCACGGGCGCGTGTGTGTGTGTGTGTGTGGCAGAGTGAGTGAGAGTTTTATGAGCTCCACATACACAAATTACTTAACGCCATTTTTTATTGTTCAATTATTAAGCAGCCGGGTCGGTTAGCATAAAATGTTTAACACGCATTTCGGCCCAATTGCTTGGCCAAGTTGTTGGCAAACAGCAGTTTCAGCAACAACAACGACTGCCGACTGCCCCGATTAATGGCCCCACATTAGTTATCAATGGAGCCCAAGCGAACGATAACGTTTCATCGCTTAACATTGCCTCCATTTGCCCAAACTGGCTGCAGTCAAGGACCCTCGGGCAGTAATGCCCAGCAGCCATCAACATCATCTCATCATCATTATCAGTGTGGTCCATGGCCTCATCATGGTTAAAGGCAAACTCCGACTAGGCCTCATTATCATCAGCCGCATTTATTCTACGCTCGAACTTTGACCGTCTCAAATGTCCGCAAATTAATTTGCCTTTGCCTTTGCCTTTGCCTTTGCCTTTATTGCTGCTCCATTTCAGCAATAACAACAGATGCTCTCTCCCTCTCTCTAACAGTCTCTCTCGTTCTCGCCCCTAATTGGCCTAGGTGTAGACATACTCTGTGCAGCGCTACAAGAAATTCTTTCCTGACAGCTTCCTTGTACATACAATCGAAGCTTAAAGAGCGTTGTTATACCCTGTAAATTGTTGTTAAATGGAAGTGTGTTTTGATTTTGTAAAGCAGTTGAGACGATCTGAGGTATACAAACGTAATCAGCAGCGTATAGTTAATGCTCCATCTGGAAAATCTGCATCTCAATTTGTAGCTTTTATGGTTATCGATCAACAAATCGATAATTATCGAATTTTAATATATGTAGGTTCGTTATTTGGTACCTAGATTCACTTCCGTATACATGGATTCCATGTAAAAAACTTCAAGTTTTCCAGTCAACATCATCCAATTGGTTTTCTTATTTTTTGGTTTCAAATTTCCATCAATATATCTTTTTGTTTGAATTTTTGGATAACTTTTGATAGAATTTTTAAAAATAAACTTTTTGCCATGGAAAAGTTTTGGGAAGTTTGTACAAAAACTTTTGACAAGGGAAACCTTAGCACTTTTCCTCWGAATCTAATCCCTTTTAAATGCAAAGTGTTTTATTTTATTTTATTTTTGTATTTTCGTATCGCTTAATTTGATGGACTTTTTAATAAACTTTACGATTGGAAAGTTTCTCAGTCCGGAATGTTGTGGCACACGTCTTTATTAGCTTCAACTGTAGTGTCCAGGGAGAAAGGATCTGAGTGAACGACATCTCAATACTCAGTTTAAAATATATACATCTATGTATGTTGGGTATTCATTTGAGTCTTTAAACTATTAGTAACTATGATTAGATTAGAATTAATTATCATTTAGCTTTGAGCATTTTAAGAGGATTACAATGAGGATATCTATATCTATGTCAGTTTGATAGAATTTCTGAATTAGGATTAATAACTTTAAATTCAATTAAAATTGAGAAACTTGATCCCTTTGTCGTTCGAACTTACTCTCCTCTTTTTCTCTGTGTTTCGCCCTAATGCTTTCTATCTCTTTCGGTCTCTACAAATTCTTGCAATTATAAGTTGTTCTCCCTCTTCTTCTATATTACGCAATCTTCTTACTTTCTCTCTCTCTCTCTCTCTCTCTCTCTCTCTCTCTCTCTCTGTCTTTCTGTATATACCTCTATCTCTCCCAAGATTTTTGTCTTTTTCTCTTCGGGCGTTTCTCTTTCTCTCTCTATCACTCTCTCTTACTCTCCCTCTCCCTCTCTCTCTCTCTTTCTCTTTCTCTTTCTCTCTCCCTCTCTCTCTCCTTCTTCCTCTTTAATTAATTTCTCTCTCCCATTTTGATTGATGGATCATGTTGCTTAGCGAGCGAGCAACGCCCAGTCAATAACTGTCGCTCGAATCCTTTTCACCTATTGTTCTTTCATCTGGCATTGATTAATAGTCTCGCCTGTCAGTTAAGGTTCAATCGAAGCACTGCTTGAAATATCTATCTATCGATCAATCAGAGCAGCACGTGAGAGTTTTAACATAACTATAGCCAACTAGCTAGAGCCACAGTTCTAGCTATTGTTCTAGCTACAGTTCTGGCCGTAGCTGCAACTAAGGTTGCAGCTAAAGTTGTAGCCAAAGTTTCAGCCAAAGTTGTTGGCGCTGCCTTTTATAATTTGCTGCCAAATTGAAGCGCAGCGCTTTGTTTGTGCATAACGAGGCGTGCAGCGCATTTGAACAAAGGACCTCGTCGCTCAAAGGCGCCGCCAAGGGACTTCCGTCCGGGCTGCAGAGAGTGCGCGGGTCGGAGGCAGTGGCAAGTGGTAGCGCGATAGCTTTGTGTCAGGCTTGGCAGCACGCGCAGCGAAATAAACCAACTGCAAATGCCAGTGCACCCGCATACGCAGCGCTAAGGACCTCCCGCACGGGGTCAAAGGACGAGGCGCAACTGAGTTGATTACCGGCTGTCAGGACGAACACACAAGACAAAGCTGATAGCTCATTGCTGTTGGCTGTTCCCTGTTAACGGTTCCTTGTTAGCTGTTAGCTGTTAGCTCTTAGCTGTTGCCCGATGTGCCAGACAGCAGTAAATGGCGCTTCAAATGCTAAATGCAATTGGCACACGCTCTCTGCTCTGCCCTACCCCCTGCTACCCTCCCTCCCCACCCCCATCTCTCTCTCTCTCTCTCTCTCTCTGAAACCCTTACAGACTGTTCTTGATTCAATTGACAAGGTGGAATATAGCCCAATAACATTAGCTGCTGATATGCAACCACATGAATATATTCAAAGCAAAGAGAGCTCTAATCGAGACTGCTCGACTAAGGGATCCCTTGAAACCTACAAGGATATCTCAATATTTCTTCGGTCTAATCACGGCATCATTTCACGTAACCAAATTCTGCCATTTAGCAATAAATATATATAATTATGATCAGGCAAGATATTCTAGACTTTTATCCAAGAGAGGCTCAAATATTTCACTTGGAATTTCGAACTTCAGATGTCTATAATTATTAACAATACAATCAAGTAAAATAAAATAAATAAATATATGTATAAAATGATTGGCTAACTAAGCCAAGTCAACTTAACTTAAATGCCCTACTTTCAAACAGTTGACATACCCATGTATATACCCTTTGTATATACCCTAACGAAAGGCACTTCAACTATTTCGCAAGTTATTTTCTAGCTTACTTTCGGAAATTCTAGCTGGTTAATAAACCAATCTGAAGTTGAGTAGATTTTCTAAGCAGCCTTGAGCCTTGCGCTCACCTTGCGCGTGCTTCCTCTTCTTCTTCTTCTTCTTCTTCTTCTTCTTCTTCCTCGTCTTCTGCTTGGATTACGTTCAACTATTTGACTGCCTTGAAGGTGAGTACGAAGGTAATTTGCATGGCACGCAATCTGATGATGGCCTCAATCAAAGGCATTTATACTGTGTGTACGTGTGTGTGTGTGTGTGCCATATACAGCACATGCCATGTGATTTCCGCTTCCGTTTCCATATTTTTTTTTCACTTTGTAATTGGCTGCGAAAATGCTGCCATAAATCAAGGCGATAATTATGTGGGCGCCAGGCAGTAGGCGGTGGGCGGGACGGCCTTTTGTTCTCAATTCGAGCCCACATCATCTGCTGCTGCTGCTGCTTCTGCTTCTGCTGCTGCTGCTGCTGCTGGTGTCTCCGCTCCTTGGGCCATCATAAATTATGATTTGATGTGCGAAATAGTTGCAAGGTCAGGGACAGTAAAATAAAAAACATATAGAACAGAGAGGAAAAACGAAGAAAACKTTTTGCCAAATTTCCATTTTCATTTCCTTTTTAGTTTTACAGCATTCTTCAGTTTTTGTTGTTGTTGCTTTTTTGTTTTTCTTTTTTTTTCGCTGTCCTTTGCCAGGTTTCGTCCTTGCCACGGCACACACACATAGATAGATAGTGGGTGGCTGGTTCGAACGGCTGGTTGAACGAACTGAATGTGGGACAGCCGCTGTGGCATTGAGTGCGGCTATGATTAATTGCATGTTGTTGCTGCGGTCACAGCGTAAATTGCTTGCCAAGCGACCGATGTGGCAGCTTCAAATGCTGCGCCGCATGTACTTGGCTAATGTTGCATTATTAATGCAGCTGCAACATGGCCCCAAACCTAGCTGCAACATTTTGGCGCATCAAGCAACAAGACCAAAAGCCAAAATGACCACCAAAGCGGCTAAAAGAGACAGTTTCAGCATCTCTCTGTGTATGTGTATGTGTGTGTGTGTGTTAGCTCCTTTCCACAGCTTTGGCTGCTGGCTTCGACTCCGGGTTACGGGCGAAAGCAATCACGATAATAAGCATAAATAAAAAGGCCAACAAAAAATTACACGACCATAAAAAAGGGCAAGCAGCGAGGCAAAAAGGCTAGACGAGTGGGCGGGGCAAAGCAGCAAGGGGTACAAAAGTGGGCGAGACGAGGGGCTAGGCGAATGGGAGGTCAGTTTGACTTCCTACAAAAAAAAAGGGCACCGCAAGGCAAAACTCCAAAATGCTGTGGACGAAGCAACAACAACAACAAGAACCGTAGCAAGCTGAAAGGCATTAGCCATAATGAGCTCGACTGGGACATACCCTGGAACTTGCAGAGAATGTCTGCCTACATTTTAATTTGGATAGAGTTTGTAAGATAAGATTTGTAAGATTTGTTCCCTTATATTACGTATACGTTTAACAACAAGTTGGGTAAAAATTATGAAACATGACGTGCCGAGCCACAAGCCGAACTCCCTTCACTCCCTATCTATTCCAGTTACTTCTAATAGCTAAAGCAAGCAGACGAAGCTCAGTGAACCCCTCTATATCTTTATAAGACCCAACTTTAACTAAGGGTATATTCGAGTAGTTAACTCCCACACATGAAGAGCGGCCAAGGCCCAGCGTAAGATAAAGGGAAAAAGTTCTTCAACAGTCAGTTCGAATGCTGTGCGTCCCTTTGGACTACACTTGACATTTACAGGGTATTCACAGCACAAGAATTGAGAACACAAATAAGTTTTGTAGTGGCCTCGCACAACCGCTGAACAACGTCGTAAAAACTTATTTAATTTGTGATTTATATGAATAAAATTTTCTAGTAAATTCACTGAAATTATTCATTTCGTAGCGCCCCTACGGCTGGTTGGACGACAACAAGAACAACAACAACAACAACAATAGCAATAGCAATAGCAATAACAGCAACAAAACAAACAAAAGAAAAATTGGCATTGGTAACTAAAGTCTGGAGGCCATAGGAAATGAGAAGGGGAAGGGAGGGGAGGGGGGTGCAAGGGCAAGCCAGTCGAAAGGATAAGTCCCGCAACCAAAACAAGTCGCCAGTCAGGAGGCATTTCAACTGACCAAAGGCGAGGGGCTGCCGCAGGGAACAGGGACTCGAGGCAGAGGCGAGGCCTAGTAGAGTCGGTTACCAGGCAGACGACAACAATGGCGACGATGACGTCGCCTCGTCGCGCCGTTGCTTACCCCTAGAAACAAAACAAAATGAAAATAAAAAGTAAAAAAAATATATATACATATATATAAACCAAAAACAACTATTTACATAGCTAGACGAGAGTCCACGTTTCGATTGCCTCAAAAGTGGAAGAAGCAACATGAACACACACACACACATAGATAAAGGGGCGGAGAGAGTTAGAACTTTGCGCATATAAATTGGGCAATTCGAATTTTGAAATGCTGCCAGAATCAGAGGACACACCCCATACCCAGCCATCAGGCACCAGCCACGCCCACGACTTGTTGGCGCCCGACTTGTCGGAGGCAACAATTTTTTGTTAAGCATCACTTAAATCGTTCCATTTACGCTCCACTTTATCTGCATATAACTGCTCTTCGGAAAGACCCATTTGTGGGAAGCCAACTGAAATTGAACTGAATATTAAATGGAACGCAAGTAGACGTTTTCCTAACCAGACATACAAGAGATATATAAGAGACCTATAGGAGATGTAATATGTATTCTCTATAAGAAATCGATCTTTAAATTGCTTCAATTTAATCAAATAAAACAATGCAAAACAAAGGCTCGAATCTCTCGTAAGAGTTGGTTACACTCAAGCCCTCGCACTAGAAATCACCTTTACCTACAAAAGGATATAAGAGATATGCAAATTTGTACTACTTCAAATATTCCATATGAATAACAATCAGAATTTATCTATATTATATTAAATATGATTATAGTATATTATTTAAGCTATGTTATGAGAAAGAGAAGAATCTTTTCTACTATAAAGCATGGAGCCTAGAACTTCATTTAAGTTTTGAGTATGAACAGTCTGAACTCTGCTTAATGATAATATAATATTGTATAATAAGATTTCACCTGTAGTAGAAGTATCCAGCTATATTAATCACCCATTTCATCAAGTGAAATAATTATATCTATAAATTTCGCTTGTACTTTATTTTAATTAGATTTATACGTAAAATGATAAAACTAAAATATGTTTATAATTATAGATATACGTACTTAAGTACTATTGAATATACTTTAAGATTTTGAAATACGATTCGGGGTCATCATTCACACGCAATACCGCGCGGTAATATTTCTTTAGTATTTCGCAGTATTGTAAAGTTCCCAAGTTGAGTTCTCAACAGATTAAACAAGCCCATATGTAATTTGTAGAATATCGGCATAAACTATGCAATGGAGCTGACAAGCTTCCGTCGCCTTTTCTTGTTGTCAAGCAACCATAATTGCAGTGAGCAGTAAACAGACTACACGTCTGAAAAGCTAGTACAGTCGAATCTTGTTAATTGGTAATTAGTGGGCCGCATTCTAAGGCGCTGTAAAGTGGTTCCCTAGAAATCGAGTTCCATTAATAAATTCCTTTTTGGTTGCCAAAGTGAATTAGACGCTAAACGCTCAATGCTCGTGCAAGGGAGAGCACTTAATCTATCAATTGCGCTTTGTGCGCGACATCCTTAAACGAGCTTGGCGCAACAAAGCAATCGCGATGGCGGTCGAGGTTGAGCGGTAAGGATTTTCGGCGCAACTTCGTGTGGAATGTGTGGCAAGCCATGAATAGCTTTTGAGTAGGCACTGGCAGAAGCAGGAGCAGGAGCAGGAGTGTAGGGATTGGGACTGCATCAGGCACTTACCGCACGCGCATCGCAGCGCAAAGCAAAGCTGGCCAAGCACAGGCCCAGCAGCGGAAGCAGCCACAGCCGGCTGAGTCGGACGCGTTTTTGCAACAGTTCACGCGGCATTTTTAGCTGATTTGTATCTTTGAGATATTTCGCCTTTTCGCTGAGGTTTTTCAGAGTTTCGGTAACGCTTACTGTTGAATGGCACTGTAAAAAAAAGACAAACAACAAAAAAACCAAAACAAATTTGAAAAATGGCCGTGCAAAGTAAATCGCGCGAATTTCAATCAATGAATGAATTTCGATTTCGACTTTGGCTGCGCTGCCGCTGCCGCTGCTCAGCGCCATTTTCTGTTTTTTTTTTTCCTTTCTTTTTTATGCAGTGCTGGTTGGCTTCACATTTGAGTGGTTCTTGGATTTGCCGGCGCCATGCGGCTTGTTGTTTACTTTCACTACAGCACGCTCACATGCAAACATACAACACAACAGCCCACACCCACACACAAACACAAACACAAACACAGACACACACACACGCACACACAAGCACAGTCAACACGTTCAAACCAAAAGCACTGCCAACGCCAACTGAGCAACTGAGCAGCAGCAAGTGGAGCCGCTGTTAAAGGAAACGAACCGAACGCGCACGCGGCACGAATTGTTCTGGCGTTTCGGCAGCATTGAAGGCTGCTTTTGAACAACAGGAGCAGCAGCAGCAGCAGCAGCAGCAGCGTCAGCAGCGGCGACGGCCAAATGGTGTGTGCGGCGAAAATGGCAAGATTTGCGGCGAATTGGTAGCGCAGCACGGCACAGTAGTTGACGAACGCAAGCAGGCGCGCAGCCAAAGGCTAGCCAACAGGCGAGAGCGAGCAGGCACTAGGCCAGCTATGGACAAAGGGTCTGACGTGCCATCAAGTTTATAAAATGTACGTGACTGTGGCTCGCTTCGCGCTTGAAGTGTGTGTTAAGCTACGCTGGCGTTGCCGCTGCCGCTGCCGTTGCCGTTGTCGCTGCCTGTCGCCTCGCTCCCTCGCTTCCTCGCTCCGTCGCGTCCAAGATGCCCATGCATTTGGCACACAATGTTCAAGGACACACACTCGCACCCATGCTCACACTCTGTCCCCCCACTGTCTATCACTGTCTCCCTCGCACACAGTGCTAATGCTTTTATTGTGCAGCATTTCTTTATTTTTAGTTGATTTGTTTGAACAATTTCGGTTAGTTTGTTCTTTTTTTCGTTTTCGGTTATTCCTTTTGGTAGCGCTGACCTTGGACCACCCCGTCCGGCTTTGCGGCGCAGTGCCCTCCATCAGCTTTGCTCCAATTACGCCAAATTTCGTTGGACAATGGCCGGCACTTAAACTTCACGCGCTCGATTTCACTTGAACAGGATTCAAGAGCAGCGCCATAATCCGTTGACCAATGCCACCGAGAATGCCACATTTCCTTGCCGCTTCCCTTTGCGTTGTCCTTTTTACGGATTACACTTGCTGCTGATCCCAGATACATTTGGCGCTGCAATATACGGCCGTCCGCCGACCCATTGTCAATCTGTGTGTCCAACGTAACAATGGAACTCGATACGGATACATATTAACCATTCTCTACACTTTATTATTGACCATTCTGCTTTACTAACAAGTCTCACGGTTGCCTTCGCCGTCTAATTTGCATCCTGCCGGACGCCTTGCTGTTCACCATCGCCATAAATAGTTCGTTGCCAGCAACTTACGACGTAATCTGAGTAATCTGAGCTCAATTATGAAAATCACGCACATCTTTTGACTGTCAACAATGTTGCTAATTTGAAGGCAGTCAGAAGAGAGCAGGACGCTTTGAGAATATTTGAAGCCCAGGTCAAGTTCATTAGCCTCCCTCGCTAGACGGCGCTTTGTCTCTCACCTGTAATAATACATAGCGCTTAACAGTTCTTACTAAAAGTAGATACACATATTAGCTCTAGTTTATGTTTTAATAACTCAAATGCCTATCGGTTTACTACAATCTATAGCTTCTATGGGCGTAGCTGTCGTAAATCTAGTTGAGTAACGAACCCATTAAAGCCAGACACATGTATGTACACACATACACATGCATACATACATATGACTGCATAGTTCTTGTTGTCGCACTGCTTACACATACATATACATATAAAATCTCGAGTTACATAATCTCTTCTACTTATGAACATATAAACATATAACTTATGTATAAATATACGATTGCAGGTATATAGTGTATATAGTGTATATGTCCAATAACCGAGCATTTGGTTCAGTGTCAAATATTTATGATGTCTTGGGCAAATGTTTCTCATTTATAATTTAGATAAGGTCGCCCTTTGCCGCTCAGTCCAAATAGAGCTATAAGCGCAGAGCGACCGTCTCCAAGGCCAGATGGGGCTCAGGTGGTCGAATGATCTGCTCCCCAGCGTCGTCCACGTAGTCTGTGTAGGGTATTCTGTTGACCACGTCGAAGCCGAGTCGCTGCAGCAGGCGGCTGGAGTAGAGGCTGGAGCAGTCGGCGGTAAGCAACGGATAGCCCAGCTCTTTGCCCAGGGCAATGAGGGCGTTCATGAGTCGCTCACCTAGGGCACGTCCACGCATTCGCGAGTCCACGCCAATGGCGTGCAGGTGTAGAGCTTTGTCCACGCCGTAGCGCTTGAAGACGTTCGCATCGCGCTCTGCAATGGCCAAAATGCCCAGAATACGACCCCATTTGGTGCCGGCCAGCTGTGCGGCCTGCTCGAACAGTTCATCCACCGCGCCGGCATCCTTGGGACCAGCGACGGCGGCGGCCACAATGCGATCACTGTGTAGCATTAGAAGGCAGGTGCCATGTGGTAAATTGGAGAGCAGAAATTGTTTATCCTTCTCATCTGGCTCGGGGGGCGCACAGCCGGCAGTAAGTGGCTCCTCCCGATAGTAGTGCTCCAGGAGGAACTCCATCATTCTGTCGCCATCCTCCACACCACACACACGAATCTCAAAGTTGTCGCCTCTCGTTGCAGCGCTCATGGCGAACACTTACCAGCCAAGTTCTAACAGCTGTTTTTATCAAAAGATCGCCGCGCAGTGTGACCGCATATTTGTGCACCAAAATTCTAACTATTCTAATGCTGGCAATATCAGCACGAATCTGATATTAATTTTTGTATTTTTTAGCCCAATTCGAAAATCCATTTCAAATCCCCATTTCAGTTAATTCGATGCCGGAATCAAATTTGAAAATAAAATAGAATTTAATAAAATACTTGTGTTAAATTCTAATAAATCAATTTCCATTGTATAAAATATTATGTTTAGGTAGAAAAGGATATGTCCTCTTAAATTTAAAAAATGTAAAGCTCTTTTGTATACCCATATAAATAAATAAATAAAATAAAATCGTTATCTTATCAATTATATCCATGCATATGTCTTTTCATTCAAATGCTTATACACATTTTCTTAATTTATTAATTTAATGTTTTATAAATTTTTTATGCACAAAAAAATGTTGAATTGAAGGCACAGTTGAGCCAAGTGTAAAATTGAAATATTAAAACAGCTCCTTTTTTAGGACGAGGCAGCGTTATAAAAATGATTACCGTGTGCGAACAAATCGAATAACAGAGTTTACGGTCTCTAAGCATTTTAAATAGGTAATATTACTAATATTATTGGATATTTCGGAGGTAGGAATCGGAGAATATTAATCAAAAATATGCCAAGACTCTTTACAGAACTGATATTGGAATCATACGCTTCTTTTATGCACACATACATACATATGTACATGAATATGTAAATACATACATACATAGGCACACATACATACATACACAGGCATACGAATTTTAAATACCTCTATCTATGTATGTAGCTCTAAAATTATTCAAATTACGATGAGATACAAAGTCAAAGGATTGATTATTATCGTTAAAAAGGAATTTGAAGACTTATCGATAGCAAATTATATACTCTATCCGCTTGTGGTATGAGATCTCTGGGTTGATACGGATGGACAGACAAATGGACGGATAGACGACATACTTTGATTTCCCATGTACATAATTTGTATATTATTAATATTATGTATAATCTATGTCTGAAATTTAGAATCAATTGACGCTCTGTATGGTCAGAATTGAGCATAGACTTCATATTTCTTTGATATTTTTATTTGATTTGCTTTCCTTAGATGTAATATAGTCATTCATAGATCTAATTGCTTTCACAATCACTTCCAAGCCCGCTACCTGGAGGATAACGAATATTACCATTAATGTAAATAAAGGAATCGACTTGTTAACAGTATTTAAGAGATATTCCTTTCAAGCGATTGTCCATATGTGAATAAGATTTCAAGTGCATCAGACACCAAATAATCCGAGCAAAGTCAAAGGGAACTCCTCGATAAGCATCTTGGCCGAGAGGAGGGTGTGGATAATCGCAAAGGAGTTGTGTGTGCAAGTGCAATTTGTTTCGTTGCCAGGATACGATGCACAATTGAATAAGTTTCCGTCCTTCGTCGAGCTCTCACCGCTGTTCGACGCAGATTTCATAATAATTAGCGAACCGTGTCAAATGTCCCGTTTAATTAGCTGCACATGTGCTGTCGACAGCATCTACGGGCGCCAGGATGAGATGGGGCGGGCGGGGGCGGTGTTACTAGGCAACAATACGCTCCAGTTGCAGCTTCTCTCATGACTTATGCTCTTGATTTTTCCCCCGCTTTCCATTTTGCTCACCTGCAATTAGCAATCAGAGTTTGCTCTAGGTAACCATGACATAATACCGCTTGTAGCTGGTAGTTGACCAATTTAATTAAGCAATTTTCTGCCACTTCTGCACACGAGCGCAAATGCAAACGTTTCGTAAGTCTAATTGACAGCGGAGCACTGGAACCGTAATACCTAAGTACCCGGGCGCAGGGCAGCAGCTGTCTCGCTCTGTCGCACGCCTGACAAGGCGCCTGGCATTGTTTTTACTTTGCGAACAATTCAATTAGCATTTGCCTCAACAGCTTGCCATAGAATAAATTGGTTACATTTCATTCTGATATTGATATTGATATTGATATTGATTTACATCTAAGATGCTTGTTTTCATATACATACACTTTGAATGCTCTGAGCTGCCAGCAATACTTTCATTTCCCTTTGACGCACTTACATATACATACATATATGCACTCCTGTATTCCAAGAGGTTTTGGTAAGCCTTTAAGCAACTGATCAAACACTCAACACGTTTTTGTTGTTTTTACCGAGGCGTTAGTTACTAGAGGTGCTAAACTATCGATGGTGGGCGCCATCGATTGAGGACGATAGCAGTTTCCAAACCATCGATAGTGGTCGATAGTCGCAATAAAAAACAGTGATTCTTATCATTAATTATTTGAACTTATATGCACATTTCCTTTTAGTGAAATTGCATTTTAAGACAAAAGGCAAATTGACTTAAAAGCTAAAACTTAAAAAGTATTAAAATATGTTTTTTTTATTGTAGCGATAGATTTTTGTTCAAAAACAGAAAAACGTTCTCATTTTCCTCTTTAAAATTAGACAATAATAATAAAATTAGACAATAATGTTCTAAACAATTCTACTAATTATTTGAAAAATGTATTACCGCTTTTAAGAAAGCGATCCATTTACATATACATATATTTATATGAATTGATATTTTAGCTTAGTGATGTGTAAATCGCAGCTTTGACGATACTATCGTCAAACTATCGAGCCATTTAATCATCGATAGTTCAGTAGCTCAATAGTACCCTATCATCGATGGTGACGATAGTGCCATAGATAGTTTGGCACCTCTATTAGTTATCAGCCAACACCTCTACCCTCTGCATCCCCCCGAAGCATTGAGATTCACAACTTTTCCGTTGCCAAATCGTCGCACTTAAGATCATCATATTCCGAATGATGAGTACATATACAACACACACATACATATATAAACAGTTATGCAGTCTTAAGCCAGAACACTAATGTCGAACATAGAAAATTTATCATTTATAAAGAAAGCTACGCTCTAGCTCATCAGACCTGCCTTTCTCTACTCTAAGGCTTTCTTGACGAACACCACACAGCTCCCTGTCGTAATTCGATGAACGTCTTATCCTGAATCCGTCTGTCTTATGCACCGATGAAAGGAAAGCAGCCCTCGCCACCCTTTGAAGAGCTTTCAGTTTTTGGGAAATGTTAGCAAAGCAAAATATACATGGATAGATATCAATATTTCTCGTGTTTCATCTCGAGCTGTGGCTGTGGGTGGACAAAGTAAATGCCTTAATACGTCATCCTGCACAGCCCCCCAGCGCTGTCCCCTGTGTGGACGTCGCTCTTGATGCAGTAGGCACAGCTGGCCAAGAGCGAATTTGCGGATGGCACAACGAAAGTTGCATTTGGATTTGGGACTGCGATTGGGATCTGGTTTTTGCATCCTTGTTGTTGCTATTGTTGTGCCATAAGCAGCTGCAAAGTTTTCATTTCTTGGCCAAATGCAGCGCAAAATTGTTTAAGCAAACTTCGAAGTTGCAAGTTGCGAGCTGCGAGCTGCGAGTTGTGAGTCCGCCGCCAGCTGGCAGTCCCAAAAAGCAGTTGTTGTCCGGCATCTCAGGTCCCTTTGCCGCACCTCTCCCCTCGTAATTAAGTTGCAGCAAAGTTGTCGTCAAGTTGCAACTGGAAGTCATTTTTGCAGCTCGGCCATTTGCCATTTACCATTTACCATTTGCAATGCCCCATTCCCTATGCGCCTTCCGCCCACCGCTCGCCCCCTTTCGCTTTTCGCCTTTCGCCTCGCCCAAACCCCCTTAGCTGCCAATCAAAGTGTTTGTTATTTGCGTAGCAGCACTACGAGAGACTGAGGGGAGAGACTGGGGGCGGGGCTGTCCAAATGCTAATTAAAATATAACCGGACTCTAATTAATCCTAATTGTATTTCGTTCGACAAGTGAGTTGCCAGTCGTCTGAAATCGATTCAGCCTTCATATTCTGTCCTTAAATTATAGTCTTTAAGCATTCCCCCCTGAATATGTCGACGTTGTGCATTCCTTTTCCGGACACAGCTCCATCATTCTCTCTAGCAACGCCACACAAGAAACATTCTTGTTCCTTACCAACAACAGCTTCAGCTATAGAGAGAGAGAGAGAGAAAAAGATGGAGAGAGTCGTAAAGATGGGTAGACTGTACTATACCATGTGACTAGGCAAGCATACTTATCAACTGGGAAGACAGTTGGAATCCAGGGAAAATTCGATTCGATTGCTACGCTGCTTCATCAGCCGTAAAATGAGAACTGAAGCAATTAGTAGGCTTTGCCTGTTACTATTTACTACCGTTAGGCACACAAATTGCTCAAGTTATATCATCCACATCAGTTTCCATAGAGTCAAAAATTGAGTAAAAATTTTATTGTCTACCACACAAGATGTTGTCGTATTTGGAGGCTCAGGACTTTCAGGACAAGGACATACGATGCGCATTCAATTTCGTTAATGCCAGACGGTAAATCCATAGCAGCTATTCCTCTAACTATTTCTACGTACTATCACTCGACCTAACTCTACAGCAATGCACAGCTGCTGCTGGACGGGTATAAGCCACCTTTGGCAGTGCGCACGGGCACTTCCATCGTGGGCATCATCTACCAGGACGGGGTCATACTCGGTGCCGATACGCGCGCCACCGAGGGACCCATTGTGTCAGACAAGAACTGTTCGAAGATACATCGTCTGCAGGATCACATTTAGTAAGCTAACTAACGATTGGATCTTTGTCTTGTTACACTCTGAACCCACTAAAAATGGGAATAGGTTTTCTTTTAAAACATTTGTAATTGGTTGGAAGGGACGAGATGAGTCTTGTCTGTTTCTAAGATCTTACTTCTAATTCGTATAGCCTATACGAATTAGAAGTAGACAAATTTGATATTTGATGCCATCGATAACACATTTAATTCGAATAATCTCTTCAGTAATCCTGGTCTTATCTCAAAAGTGTGAAGAGTTTGAACTGGCAAATTTTTCATTTAGTTTCTTGTACAGTTCAAACTATTTTTAACAGAATTAACTATAACAAAAACCGAAATTCTAAAAAATTAATATGAGTTTACATTTCAAATTTAGAGACTCCAGTTCTAAAAGTGTAGGAGATATAATTAATGAACTGATTTTCGATAAGCTTTTTATCGACATCTGGAGAAAAGGTCGATATGCGCGTGATATACACTGACCTAGGATAAAATTAATTAATTAAATTAAGTCTCTAGGTCTTATATCTTCTGGGATCGAAGCGTACATACAAATATATAAGTCGGCTCAGCTCATCGCTCTGATCAAGAATATGTATACTTTATGGGGTCTGCCACGCCTCTTTCTGCCTGTTACATACGCCTCGTTTTGCCTGTAACATACGATTATTCCCTGATTTCCCATTTTCAATTGGTTCAGGGTATAATGAGTATCTTCCAGTCAGGTCACTCCCAGTCTTACTTTTGCTCTCCATAGCTGCTGCGGGGCAGGCACCGCGGCCGATACTGAGCAGATGACTCTGATGACATCCGCTGAACTAGATCTGCACGGGCTGAACACGGGTCGCCAGGTGCCATTGATCTGTGCTAGCATGATGCTCCGCCGTACACTGTTCCGCTACCAGGGTCACATTAGCGCCGCCCTAGTCATGGGTGGGGTGGACAAATATGGGCCGCACATAAACTGCATTCATCCGTGCGGCTCCATCGACAAGATACCCTATGCAGCTATGGGCTCTGGCACACTGGCGGCCATGGCTGTGCTGGAGCAGGGCTGGAATCCCGAGCTGGGGCTGGAGGATGGCAAGCAGCTGGTGCGCAAGGCAATTAGCGCCGGTGTGTTCAACGATCTGGGCTCCGGCTCCAACATCGACCTGTGCGTGATAACGCGCGATGGAGCCAAGCATCTCCGCACGGAGACAATCGCCAGCGAGCGTGGCGAGCGGATGGGCGCGTATTCCATTCTGCCCAATACGACGTTGGTGAAGAGCATCTCGATACGGGACCTCGATATAGTCGGCGAGCGCATCTACCGCCCCACCTATTCCATTTCCCAGTTGCCCTCCATCAGCCAGTCCGAGTCGCAAATGGAGAGCCCACAACCAAAGCCTAAGCCGAAGCCGAAGCCCAGCTCGACATATCCATCCTCAGGCCGTCCATAGGTATCTAATAGTATAATAAATATATTTGTTTATGAGTGATTAGCGAGCATTGCACAAATCCAGACACAGGTGAAGCCATTTCTGTATTGTACTCTGTAGTCTCCAATAAAAGTTCAGTTTGGTAGCGTTTCGGGTATTTGTTTTTGAAACTTGAACAGGACTGAATTGGATAGCATGAGCCAATATTCAGCTCTGAGCTAGAGTGTGGAAGTTTGTATATAATCGAGTCTAACCTGTTCTCTGAAAACATTCTAAAACTAAAAGTTTAAACAAAACAATTGCTCCGACAAGAATACCTCACAAAATATTTTATTTCCAATTAATAAAACTTTTTATGGAGCATGATATGGCTAGCCATGATTCCTGAGGCTTGAATTCACTTCACAATATTTTGTAGAGCTCAACGTTAGACCTAAGAGTTTAAAGACCTTAAAGAAAGCACAAAAAATAGCTGGTTATATATGTATATATATATAATGATGACTATCAGATGAAATGCGAGAGATTCAGCAAGGGATTATTATTAACATCAAGAGCAAGTAACTATTTTCGTGGATCGATAATCGAAGGACTGAGCTTTCGACGACTGTCAGCAAGGTTTTAAAATACATTTTGTTAATCCGTAATTCGCTTAGCATCGCATCGTATCTATTCGAGTGCACTTAATTAGCAAAGTTTCGGACGCTGCAGCAGAGCCTGGGCAACTTTTTGCAATTTGTGCTTACTGTGATTGCATTTGCTCAAGAATTTGTTGGAAACTAAGCTGACAATGGACGAAGGACATCTGTGTGTGTTTATTTAGCCATTGGCTGTCTTGTAAAAGCCAATTTGGCAACATATTAAATTGAAGCTCTTAACGTGGCTAACTTGATTATTTGTGTACAAATGGCAGGAGCACGGAGCAAGAGCAGGAGCAGGAGGAGGAGCAACGGCAACAGCAACAGCAACAGCAACAGCAGCAGCAGCAGCTACAGTACCGGCAGTAGCAGGTGGCTCGAGAGTCCTCGAATTAATTGAATCCTGGCATGTTGGTTAAGTCGTTGCTGGAGTGCGAGTCCTTTGGATGTCCTTGCAGGCACACAGAATGCGTCGAGTGCAATTTAATTCAAATTGTGCGTAGCCAAGGGCAACGGTTACAGTTACGGTTACATTCCCAGCGACACATCCCAATTGCCACACCTCTCAGGCACCTCTCATCCCTGGCGTTATCCCTTTTTACATATCCGCACACTCGCACAGCTAGCCGTCGGACGCACGGGCGAGGGAGGCAGTTGATGGGTCGCATCCCCAATGCCCTGGCAGCTGGCATTTTACGTTCAGTTGTTTATGGCCACATATCCTTAAAGTTGTAACATGCAAAGCAGCGCCAGAGCCACAGCCAGAGCCACAGCCACAGCCACGGCTACAACTACAGCCAGCAGTCTGGGAGCTCCATTCTGTTGCATTACTTATGTGCCGCACGGGAAATGGAATCAAAGGGCGAGCGCCGAGAATCCAGCCAAATTTGTAGCTCCAACTGAGGCGAAATCTGCCGCCGGATATTGACAGACGGGCAATAAAAACTACAAAAGGCGACACCAGCGGCCGACAAAAGGACAATCCGAAACAAGCAAAGCGGTACGAGCGCGTGTGGCCTGCTCGACTATTAGATACCGTGCACATAACCAAACGATTGACGGAGAGAAATGGACTTCATATAGGAAGTGAAACGTGAGTGGCTATCTCATATCTGAAATTTTTCGTATCATAATAATAATACAATAATGTACATCATATAACATAATAATATAATATAATTTTGAAACCACTTTATCGACTCAAACCTCTTTAATAAGTAGAGCCAAGCTTATAGTCTTCAAGTTTTGGGTGTTTGACTTCTTAGACACGATCTTTTATCTTTTATCTCAGAAGAGCTTTATGCATACATACGCTTATAAGTGTATACAAAACTCATATGGAAACTTACGGATAAGAACTTGGCTAGTCTTATTTATTAATACATATATAGTAAAATTATATCCTATAAAATCTAACCATAAGAGGTTTTTCTGAAATCATATACTTATATCATATAAAGCAAAAGTTAAAGAGAATATTTCAGATGTATTCTACATAGGATTATACTAACGTAACCACTGTCCCATGCTAGGGTCAATCAAAATAAAACGATACTCATATATAATTATATCTGAATACAGATAATTGGTTCTTACGGCAGATATCTTAATCAAAGCACCTGCATTATAGCTCCCCCAGCTTATCTTTTAAAAAAACGCTTTCATTTAAAATTCGTTTCAAGGCGAATCTATTCATATTCGGTTTTAAAATGTAGGAAGCTTTGCCAAAAATGTTTTTATTTTTCAGAAACGAAATTTCATCATTTGCTTCCCTTTTTTTGTGCTGGCAAGTAAATAAAAATCCGTAGCTATTCGTTTTAATTTTATCAAAATATTTATTTTCTTTCGGGGTTTTTTTTTTTTTTTTGTTCTTTCTGTTTCGCAACAGGGCGTCACGCATTGAGATTTCGTGCACGCCATTTGCCTCAGTCGTGTGGACGGGAGATGCGAGATTCGAGATGCGGATGATGTTCATGTTTGTCGCCGACCCCGGGCAGAAGGGGAACAGAGCACGTGAGCTGGCATACGGACAGGATAGCCGAACGGACAGAGGAGCGCCCTGGATGGCCGAAAAAATGAGGCTGAGATGAAATACGAGGGCTGTTTATCAGCTTTGCATGAGCAGGCAGGCAGGCAGGCAGGCAGACAGGCAGACAGACAGGCAGCCGTAGACCGAGGGATAAACCAGCAGAGCTATCATTATAACATTGTAATTACTTGTGGATATTTTACAGGCAGCTTCCGCTGCCCTGAAGTGAGTAGCTTAGTAGGAGACTCTATACATAGCTCTGTTTGACTGATAGCTGTTATTCAAGTAAAATAATTCACGTCAGATCTAGGATGTCTCTTCACTGGAATTCTCAGTGCTTCTTCGACTGTGCCATCTCTATTTTGTATGCCTGCTTGATCCACCCGAGTATCTGGTAATCCCCAAAAACTATTGTCGCGCATGCTCCACAAGTTGCCTGGATATCAAGGAGCTAGGCACGCAATTGAGCAGCCATTTACGTTGCTTGATTGGAAGTGCGTGGAGGGGGAGTGAAGGAGGGATGTGCCTCTGTCGCATTGTCCTCGTGTGGCCCTGTTGGACGGTTTTCCCATGGTAAGTTTTTGTTTTCTCTTCATTTACTATGCTCTGGGCCCATTGAAAATGGGAAACCAGGGTATAATGGTTTTCTTAAATGTACGTTAGAGGGAGAAAACACGAGTGACAGAGACCGTAAGGTATATATATTCATGGTGAATGCGAGGAGCTGAGTCGATATAGTCATATCTGTCTCATCGTCCGTCCGCCTGTCCTAATGCGGACGGAGATACTTGAAATTTTCTTAGCATGTCCGTCTATTGATATGGTTTCGGTCTAGTGTAATCGATTTAAACGCATTTCAAAATGCAGTTAATTAATTAACTAATACATAATAAATAAATAATTAAAAATTTCAATTTTAAATTTATGGGATTTCGATCATTGTTCTATTTTGGATATGACTCACAAATCCCATCCGGGATGGGCCATCCCTTTCCTACAAATTTGCAATAAGCGTATTTCAAATACTAAAGACTTGAGTCTTGGCTAATATGCACATTTAATGCTAGATAGTCAATCTAAAAGAAAAATGATTAAGCTGTTCCCATAGTAAGTCCACGCTGCTCAGTCCCTCGAAGGGTTCAGGGGATCCTGCAGTCGTGCAGTCTCGACTAGAGAATTCTTACTTGTTTTCTATTTTTCACGTGTGTCGGACGTTGGGCTGGCTGGTGGCTGGGTGGTTGGGTGGTTGGGTGACTGGGTGGCTGGATGGCTGGGTATGTGGCATCGTTTTGTTACACTTACTTGGCGAACAAAAAAGTTATCACATAGAGCCATTTAGCCGGCGCTAGGACAATGGAGCACGCGCACCAGCAGAAGCTATCGGCGGGACGTGCACTGTGAAATGCGAGCTCCACGTCTGGCGACGTGCTTTACAGCTTAAACAGCGTACCGACATATGTCGCCGTCATCGTCGTTCTGATTGTCCTTGTGCTCCTGCCCACATAATGCCTTCGCTGGACACAAAGCGCCACTTCATTATCGACAACACTTGCGCCTAATTAGCGACATATACGCAATGAGTAATTGCTGGATACCTAAACCACACACACACACACACACACACACACATACTTAGAGAGATACCCACAGCCACTGCTATGCCCACTGAACCACACGGCTCACAGTTGGCGCTGTGGTTAAGCAACCACCCAACCACAAAGCAATACGTATCTGCATGATTTCAAATCGTCTGCGGCCAGCTTGGGGGCGGCTAAGTGGATTGGTTCAGTGGCCATCTGGCTCAGTGGGTGGTATTACATTACAGTTGCATCAGCCACAATTAATGTCAGCGTAGAATATGGTTGGTATATCTGTTACACAATGCACACAGTTGCTAAGTACAGTGCTCACTCGTCAAGAGTAACGCTCAACAGATTATTTTGAGCCGCACCGAATAGTGCACGAAAAGTAAGCTAAGAAGAACCAAGTGTACTGGGCGTAAAATAGGCGGATATAGCCCACTGGGGCACATCTTGAGCATTCAAACAAGTCTATTTTTTAAAAGGTCTATTGTATAAGTAAACAAGTAAGTAAGAGCCCTCATGATGAAAACAATGAGCACACCAAAATAATTTTGGAGATTTTTTCATAACTAATTACTTTTGGGTATTTTGAAAAAAAAAATAAATAAATAAAAAATCAGGATGGTAACTTTAAGAACGCAATCTGGCAATGTGATGTACATATGCAAAAAAAAATAAATTGTATTTCCCCCTAAATATATAGTAGTCATAGTTCATTGTAAAGAGCTTGCTGAAAATAATAGGTACACTCAACTTCTTCGGCCTGAAAAACTTTAAAATACGAAATGTTTCTTTTCTTGTCATAATATAGTAAGTATTCTTCATACAGATGTTAAAAGTAGAAAAACACCTATTAATATCGTATGAGGAACGGAGAATTGCTTAAAGCTTTAGAAGAAAAGGCAAATCTTTGCGAAACTGATGAGCAGATCTCATATTTTTGTGGAAAATGCTTTAGAGGTGCACAATAAAAAGGAAACACGTAGACGTAACGCAAGAAGGGTCCCTTTGATGCTACGGCAAAATTTTAATAAAGACCACATCACATGGAAAGGATCTGAAAGAAAAAGTGGCGTATTATCCTATTTAGCGATGGACAGACAAGTAAGACGCCCTAAAAGTAAAGAATTTGATCCTCGCCACACACAAAAAAAAAATAAAATAAACAAGTAAGAAAGCTGTAGTCGAGACTGCCCGACTACGAGATCCCCTGATCGAAGTCCCATAAAGCACATATAAATCTACATTAAAGGTTTAAGCTCTAGCTTTAAAGATGTAGGAGATATAAATTTATTACTTGCTTTTAATAATGTTTTTAATCGATAACAAAATAACAGGACAAGGTACCGATATTTATATACACGAATAGGAAAAAAATTTCAAGTCCCTAGCTCTTATATCTTCTGAAATCGAAGCGCTTATACATACGGACAGACGGACCCATTTTCAATGGGTTCAGGGTATAAAAACTGATTTTTGTTCTTAGTTGCAGTTTTCTCTGATTTTATTTTTTCAGCGAGATCTGGATTTTTACATTATACTTGTTTTTTTTTCCTCCACACATTGCTGTTTTTTAATATTTTAATCACTTTCTCTGCATTATTTTTACCCAGTGACTGATGTAGTGATTAAATTTTGAATTCTTTGACTGAAAACAAAACTATTTCGACACAATAGAATTTTATATTTGCTTTAAATGAAATACAAGAAGGAAAATCAAACATTCAGATTCTTCATTTATTATTAATCCGTCCAATAAATAATATTGATCCAGCGACGTTTGGGATGCGATCCCTCCTGATATGGTGGGACGCTACAAAAATAGTATGCTAATTTATTTAAATCGTTTTAATGAATT